GCATTTCTAGTCCTAGTTCGACAAAATCTATTTAAACACGTAATACAAAATAATTTGTGTTGTGGGGAATGTATCTCCTATACGTAACTTTTAAGTGGTATGCCTTGTAACTGATTAATGATGCGAATGTTCCTTATTTCAAAGACAATGACTTGTTCCAGAGGGAGATGCTTCCTGAATCACGAAAAATACTAGTTGACCCATATCAGAATAACAACAGCTCTCACGTGAGTTATCTGTCCAGGTTACTTCCAAAACACACACTTTCTCCTAACAATCACGTATTCCATGTTTGACCCTTATAGACAAAATGTTAAATGTACCCACATTAGACAAGTATTCATAAAATTATAATTCTAAATTATCGACAGGCATATTGACAATGTAATTACTGCACTGAAATGTAATTTATATTATATCGTATTTACAAGATGATCTCTGTCGAATGAGGCCTACACCTGCAGCACTCAGATTGAGGGCAACCAAGTGGTAGTGCATTCTATTTTTGTTGCAGAGGTTCAAGGTTGAAGTCCGACAGGCATCCCCGGTTAGTCCAGGAACATTCATTACAAATATGCACCGTCTGCCAAACAGTTGATTGATTGTAAAACATACTGTCATTAAAACGAGTATGCGATTGCATGCTGGCGTTGTGGTTAAAATTGGGAAAATTCTAAACATTACCCACAAATTACGCAACTGAGTTAACACAACAATCATCGCCCCCTACTGACAGACTCATGCCCACATGGAGGCTGGTGCAGGGCCACCTTATGCCACACAGAGGCAGCTGCCACTTGGGGATGCTTGTTTTATCTAGTGTATTGGAAAAAAAATGTAAATAATAAAGATGTGATTGTATTAACTTATGATAATTTATGAAAATATTGACATTAATGCCCTTATGCAAATTAGACTCGGTTTCCTTATCTAGGGGTGTATTACCAATCGTGATAATACAATAAAAATATTGTAATTAAAAAAATTATGCAAATTTATGGAATTCTGTAAATTTATGCAAATGTAGTGACATCAGGGATGTCAATGTATGGTGCCGGCCCAAGAGGGTAGTTGTGTGCGATGTCCCTACATCGCGGACAGCACCGGGTGGGTTGCTGTGTGAGGCCGGCTCTAGCACAGCACGGCGTGCGATGCACTGTCATCGCGTACACCCCGTAGGCGGGTGTAGTTCCAGCCCTAGCGGGGCTTGGTGAGTGCTCGGATAGCACAGAAACCACGAGCAGCGTGTAGTGCGGGATCCCACCAGGGGGAGTGGGAGAGTGTCAGCCCAGGGGCAGGGTTGCCCAGGGCCATGGCACTCTGGTTGACCCTGTAGACACGTGATCCGGAGTGTCCACAGAGAGGGCCCCAGGTGGGGGGGGGAGGCTAGGGGGTGATCACGTGTCTGGGAGAGCTCTCGAGAGGGAGTTAGAACGTTCGAGAAGGCGGGCAGGGCCAAGGGCGGAGTGGCCCCGACCCAGGGGGATATAAGGTGGGTCCCTGGGCGCGACTGGGCTTCTTCGTTCTACAAGCTGGAAGCTCCACGTCTACAACCTGGAAGCTCTACGAGGCATCAACACGTGGTCGGGGACCCAAGTGAGGGTCTGATCCTTCGGAGCTGTAACTCCTGCGTATAGAGAGTTATCTGGGTGGTCACCACTCCAGGCTGTATCTGGTGAAGGGGCAGTTACCCCTTTGTGTTAACGGGTTGATGTTACAAAAAATGTGTTCCATCTAAAGAACGTCTGCGACTCAGTTGGACTCACTACACAATTATGCAGCTTCGGTGTCTCGGGTTGTATTACCAATTGTGATAATACAATGAAAAATTATGCAAATATAAGCATTTATGTAAATGTATGCCATTATGCAAATTAGGCTCAGAATTCACATCTCGCCACAGGATACAGTTCTCATAATTAAGATTATGCATTAACTTAGGAAGGAACCACTCAGATACTTGTGTTAATTAACTTTATTATCTAAACACACTAAAATGTGAACACACTTATGATCGGAGTTGTCAACACCGTACTCCTTAAGTAGTCCTCATTGATCCGTACAATTAACCCTCAATGGTTACGTTTGTTAAAACTGAATAACAAAACAATCGGCTAACTCCTCAGAGTAGCGAAACCATACACGCCGATATGAAAAGTCCTTTAAAAAATATGACAATATGCATATGAAACATGCTAAAAAAGACATGTGCCCAATGGCAAAATTAGACATCAATTAATTAATTGGTAAGATTATGCAATTAACGAAATTTCCTGAAACAATAGTGTGTGTGTGCTAGTGTGCCTGTTTGGTTAACAGATGGTTATCAATTGGCTAATGGGACATCAATGAATTCGGGGCAAGATTCTGTGACCAAAAGAAAAATCTCAACACAGTATTCCTGTGTGTAGATTCGTAACATATATGCTTATGTTTAGTGTCATCAATGAATTCACTGGTAAGGTTATGAAATTAACGAAAATGAATCACTAAAATACTTCTCAACGACCGTATTCATGTAACTCAACGGACAGAACAATGCTATTCACGATCAGCTAATAGTTAACGCACCACCTTAGGATGGCAACCCTTTTCGAAACAAAGATAACTTTTTGGATCGATATTATTAGTACCAATATGCGCGTTGTGTGTGGGTGTGCATTGTCTTCTTGCTGTTATGTTAGCGGCTTCCTTGTACCGAAAACACCTCAGGTCCCCAGCAGGGGTGCTGGGTCGGCGTGTGTGTCGAACACACGGTGCTCTCGGCTGCTTCGTCAGTCTCTCTCCACCGCTGGGGTGGTTGCCGAGTCGGCACGCTGGTCACACTCTTGGCAGTGCCCATGCTGGCAGGTATGATGGGTCCGGCTCCGTCTGCGTCGATGTGCGCGATCATCCCGTCGCCAGACACCGCTTGCAGCTCATCCTCTGGTTGCCGCGCGTCACCCCCGTTGGCACCAGACTGTTGATCATTGTAGACTGTGGAGCGACTTGGACAGACAATGCCTGTCGTCTCCCCCCCCCCCCCCCTCTTCAAGAGTCCTCTTTCAGTTGTCTGTACGACTCGTGCTGCACAGAGGACAAGCTACAGATCAAGTTATACTCCTCTTTGGTTCTTTCGGTAAAGTCATGCAGGTATAAAATACTTATTTCTGTCGCTTGGGCTGTTTGTTGTCCGGGTGTCTTTATTACCGCCATGTTTCCGTTAAGGTTTTGGGCAGCGTTCCCCACGCTCCTATCACGGGTTGGAAGTTGGAAGTGTTACTTTTTTTGCCTCAGACTCAAAAAAGGGCACTGTGGCCTTTGCAGTTATGACCTATTGTGCACGGCTGTGCTTGCTGTTGTCATATTTTCCGTCCTCTCATCACGGGTTGGAAGTAAAACAAATTTTTTACACCTACCATACAACTTTCCACAGTTTCGACTCGGCAAGCGACTCAAAGTACCTTTTGAGCAGCATTCACAGCACTCACGTCACGGTTTGGAATTACTGCGTGGTATTTGATAGATTAGGGGGAGGCGCCACCCTGCATACATAATTTACTGCTACCATGTGCTGTTAGCTACTGGAAGACAAAGGCGGTTGGTCAGGCTCTGATCCCGGGGAATACATTATCTTGGTCGTGTGTGATTGACATTACGCATTGTATCTCTTCTGACTGACCCTAGGTCTAATACTTTCATAATTATTATTTGGTTCATGCTTCACCAACATTTGTGCTATACCATAGTTGTTACCAAAGATATTCCGAGGGTTTTATGAACCTTTGTTCCACGTCTGTATCAACAGGGATCCGTGCTTCTTATTCTCAAGTTATATTTTGATATCCTGAAGTTGAAGATATAGCTAAGCTTCGAACTTCACTGATGTATTTTAAAAGCCCCAGCCAGCTCGTATTAACTGCCCTTGGGTGGATTTCCCTGTCCGGGGGAGGTTCGTAACTCCTGCTGTTTCCGTCTTATGTTTGTTTTGTGGGTTGTTTCCTTCATGGCGGCCTTCTCTTGAAGTTAACTGGGGATTGCCGTTTTTTATTACATTTTATGACTTCCCAAGCAGGCTTGTGAGTAATTATCCTCCAGTTGTCTTGTGTGGCAAGGCAGGAGGAAGGGAATGGAACTCACACTTTCTGTGCCCCAGTGCTACATCCCAATCAAAATTATTACAACAAAAAGTAGGCACTCAATATAATTTTTTGGAAAACGCATATATACATGCTCTTTGAATGTTTGTGATGAGATATGATGCAAAACTCCGAGTTGTTGAGGCGATTAAGCAAGCACCATATAAATAATATTATTATGAAAATATTGTGAATGCTTTGGATCTTATTGGCTCTGGTTCCTGGTAAGAGATCTACCCAACCCACAGGTTTGCAAAAACTAGCCGCTCTTACTCTGCAAGTTGAACCTAGGAACTGAGTGTTCAACTTCACATCATTTTCATTAAAGGCCTATGACAAAGGTGAATCGATTGGAACTTCAATGTCTCAAGCTTACACATCTACCGGGTCTCCATTTGACTTTGAAATGTCTAAGAAGTCCACCCACACCTCTACTTCCACAAACTGCTGGGAGTTGCCTCGCTCTGCCTCACAGTCAGAATTCTCCTCCTGCTTCACATTGCCTCCATCGATGTGAAGGTCCAATTTTGGAGTTGAATCTTCATCTTCACATTTTACAGTCACTTCTTCGCTCTTCACCATCACCTCATCACATTTGACCTTCACTTCGTCGATCTGCACCATCATCACTTTACATTTTACCTTCACTTCTTCGCTCTTCACCATCACTTCTTCACATTTCACCTTCGCCTCTTCAAATTTCACCTTGATACATTTCATAGTGTCCAAGCTGGAATTTACTTTTGGTTCTTTTTTCAGGAGGGATGGGCTCATCGCAGCACTTTGACTTTCACAAGTCGATTTCAGACGACACTCCTTGGGGATCTTCTGATGCCTGTGTGTTCTCTGGTGTCTATGAAGATGTTGTGACTGTGAAAACGCCTTCCCGCACATAGTGCACTTGAAGGGTTTCTTTCCTGTGTGTGTTTTCTGGTGGCTCTTAAGAACTGATGACCGTCCAAATGCCTTCTCACACACAGTGCACTTGAAGCGTTTCTCTCCAGTATGTTGTCTCTGGTGCTTTTGAAGACTTGTTGACCGTTTAAACGCCTTCCCGCACACAGTGCACAGGAAGGCTTTCCCTCCTGTGTGTGTTGTCTGGTGTATTTTAAGAGAAGATGAACTTGAAAATGCCTTCCCACACACACTGCACTTGAAGGGTTTCTCTCCTGTGTGCGTTCTCTGGTGTTTTTTCAGATGTGATGACTCTGTAAATGCCTTCTCACACACAGTGCACTTGAAAGGTCTCTCTCCTGTGTGTGTTCTCTGGTGGCCCTGAAGAACTGATGACTGTGCAAATGCCTTCTCACACACAGTGCACTTGAAAGGTTTCTCTCCTGTGTGTGTTGTCTGGTGTATTTTAAGAGAAGATGAACTTGAAAATGCCTTCCCACACACACTGCACTTGAAGGGTTTCTCTCCTGTGTGCGTTCTCTGGTGGTTTTTCAGATGTGATGACTCTGTAAATGCCTTCTCACACACAGTGCACTTGAAAGGTTTCTCTCCTGTGTGTGTTCTCTGGTGGCCCTTAAGAACTGATGACAGTGCAAATGCCTTCTCACACACAGTGCACTTGAAAGGTTTCTCTCCTGTGTGTGTTGTCTGGTGTATTTTAAGATAAGATGAATTTGAAAATGCCTTCCCACACACACTGCACTTGAAGGGTTTCTCTCCTGTGTGCGTTCTCTGGTGTTTTCTCAGAGGTGATGACTCTGTAAATGCCTTCTCACACACAGTGCACTTGAAAGGTTTCTCTCCTGTGTGTGTTCTCTGGTGTTTTTTAAGATTTGATGACTGTGAAAATGCCTTCTCACACACACTGCACTTGAAGGGTTTCTCTCCCGTGTGTGTTCTCTGGTGGCTCTGAAGATCTGACGACTTTGCAAATGCCTTCCCGCACAATGGGCACCTGAAGGGTTTCTCTCCCGTGTGTGTTCTCTGGTGGCTCTGAAGATCTGATGACTGTGCAAATGCCTTCCCGCAAAATGGGCACCTGAAGGGTTTCTCTCCTGTGTGTGTCCTCTGGTGTATTTTAAGATGTGATGAATCTGCAAATGTTTTCGAGCACAAAGTGCACCTGAAGGGATTATCTCCCGTGTGTGTTCTCAGGTGTATTGTAAGATAGGATGACTGTGCAAATGCCTTCTCACACACAGTGCACTTGAAGGGTTTCTCTCCTGTGTGAGTTCTCTGGTGTCTTTTAAGATTTGATGACCATGCAAATTCCTTCTCACACACAGTGCACTTCAAGGGTTTCTCTCCTGTGTGAGTTCTCGGGTGCTGTGTTAAATTTCCAGTACAATCCGTGCTGTTTCCATACTGGTCGCATTGTTTCCATTTTGTACCGAGCTGCGCTGAGTTCCTTTGCTCCATCAGACCAATTCTGCAGAGGCAGCGTCAGAGGACGCGTCAGCTGAAGACAGAAAAATATATCCACACCATCTACGTCAGTATCGAGGAACAGAGAAATGAATATATACACAGTCACACATGACTTACACGTCTATACTTATTCATATATTCATGATATATTAAAAAAGATTGCCCAATTCATCACACGGGTTGTTAAGGTACACAATGAGAGGGCAAGTGGTCGTAAATATGCCTGGATGCATAAGCACACCATTTCAGCTCTCTAGCTACGAAAGGAATATTTAATAAAAATTCAGCTAAGACAGCAAAGGGGGGAATAATAGCCATTTTCTGTACTTTTGAGGCATACGCAATTAGGAAATAACACTTACGACCCAGGGACAAAATTTTAGTTTTTTTGTTACAGTGTTATCAATGTTTGCTGTCAGTGATAATCAAACTAATTGTTGCATTTATAATGCAGTGAAATAACTGCACTACAGCTCCCCACAAAAATAAACTCTTAAATACACATACATTTTACATAGATCATTAACATATTATATAAACAAAACAGTCACCATTCATTACAAATTGGAAGTAACCTTATCACAATGCTAATGCCATGATAGGTGCAATTTAAGGCCATGGCAGTATGGATTTCTTGCCAGCAGATAATGGGAATGATCCAGGTGTCAAGGGATGACTGACAAATTAACCAGCTGTGCTCCCCACTGTCTTGCTGGGTTTTAGGAACCCAGCGTTCGACCCATTCATGTGAGTGTCACTCCGACCTCATCGTTGTTGCAGAGCAAATATCTGTTAACTGCCCTGCAGCATACCTCATGGGCCTCCTCCACAAAAGGCCAATATTGATACTGATACCAGTCATCGGCGGTTCCGATCACATCCACATCCTCCAATCTCTTCTCTAGTCAATGCCATGCTAATTTCGCCCCTAATATCTGGACGAACAGAAGCTGCTTGAGCATGCAGTGTCTGGGAATGCGGGATTCATGACCGAACCAATGCAGCCTCGCCTATCAAAGAGACTCAAGATTATATTCTATATTAAGGATCTGTAAGCTTAATACAAAATAGTCTGGTTGAATAGAGGATGAATCATAGGCAGGCCAGCCTTAATTGTATAAGCCAGCACAGATGGTCATTTAAATAAATTCATATTTTGCATCCACAGAGTAATATCTGTGGCCAAGAAGAATCACAGCTTTGTTCATTCGTTTCTAAAAACGCTTGACCTGGTGAGGGTCGCGGTGGCAGCACACCGAGTTGGGCGGTCCAGGCCTCCCTTTACCTGCAGACAGACTCTAGCTCAACCTGGGGAATTCCAAAGTGATCCCAGGCCAGCCGAGCGACATAGTCTCACCAGCGTGTCCTGGGCCAGCCCTGGTATCTTCATCCAGTGGGACGTGTGTGGTAGAGATCTAGGGGGAGGCCATTGGGGGCATGCTTACATATATTCTATATTGATATCACCCTTAGAGCCAGGTACAGGGGTTGTGTTCGCCAACAAGAGACTCGTGGCCGTGTGACCCATGTAACCCAATCGGGCCAGCTCAAAATGGTTTCGTGGTGCCATCCTGTCCACCAAACATCTGCATGATGAAGGGTGAGGGGCAGGTGCGATGCCAGTATGGCAGGGAGAGGAATGGTCTCATATGGATTAGACCTTGGCGATAGACAATCACAGCCTTGTATGGAGGAAAAGTCCAGGCACTGTCCACACAGTGTTACACAGTCTAATGAAAGAATGCTGCTTGACTAATTTTAATTGAGACTTTGGCTGTCAAACCAGAGCTGGTCGTGAACACATTAACCAGGTATGGGAGCTCCTCCACCACTTGTAGAACTGCCTGATTATTCATGGATAGTTGAGCAGGTACAGTGTTGTATGACATTAAATTCCCAGGCAGGTGATTTATTTTTGTGGAACATTTGCAAGGCCCCATTTCATGATGAAATTATCAAGTCACGGAACAAGATCCCCGAATTCGATCTCATTATGTGGCCATTACCAGATCATCAGCAGATGTAACATGGTTGACCAGCACGGAACGATCCTTTAACTAAAACCAGGCATCGATTAGCGTATCATTGTAACCGTAACAAATACAATTGTTTTTATATGACCATTGGGAGCTTCTCAAACTACATAGTTATTGAAGATGCTATGAAATGGAATGCATGGGACCAGAGTGAATTTCTGTCACAAGCCAATTTGAACAGGATATGGCTCCGACTCCTGGTCACGCAAATTTAGACCGTCCTGCCCAATATCATACAAATCCTCAAATAATGTGAGCAAGAGGCATAGATTTGAAAACAAAAAAAACAACCCAAAGCCCCAAGTATGTTTTTTTGTTTGCATCCTTACCACAAGTATTGTGATTAATGCAGACATGATTCCTTGTAAAAATAGGTTTCAGTTTTGTTGCCAGAAAAAAATGGGAAAAAACAATTCTTATATTTTGGTCCTGGCAAAGGAGGTCCCATGATGGAGATGCTCACCCCTGTTGTATATGAGCCTTCACCCCGAGCACTCATTACTCTGATAGTGCATTGCCTTTGAGCTGTACGCCTTTTGGCGTCCTCTGGTCTAACACCGTTTGAGACGAGGCTCGAAAAAAGCTGTCTCTGGTGTGGACCAATCAGTTTCAAGGACAATGCATATATTATCAAAGTATGTTTTTTGTTTGCATTCTGACCACTAGTATTGTGGTTAATGCAGACATGATTCTTGTAAAAAGGTTTAAATTTTGTTGCCAGAAAAAATGGGAAAATCCTATGAAAACCCTATTCTTATATTCAATACTTAAGCCTTACCTGAGTAATGGCGTTCGGTAAACGTCAACTAAAATTTACATCACAATTGAAATAAGTACCGTACTGTATTCCAGATAAACTAAACTATTCAAATAAACATGGAGAAAAAATCTACCAAAAATATTCCAAGACAAAAAAAATAGTCTAAATCTATAAAGATTAAGCAGACTTTGCGCTTGTGTAGATTTTTTCATGAACCAAATTGCGCCAACACACCCCAAACTTTCCACGTGTACTCACGGGTAAGTTAGTGTTTTTCGCACTAATTTTAGCTTACCTGCACACTCCAACCCCCCCTCCCCACTCATCACCTCCCCCACCCCTCTCTCTCTCTCTCTTGCCATGTATTAAAGCCCAAGGTTTGCCACACATGCAAACACATGACATTTCATGCACTACAATTCCACGCACTCACCATAACATACGTGTCTTCACTGCACTGCTATATTTGTTCTCATATTTACCACGTTATCCTTCCCTATTACCAGCCCTGCGTTTCTGCCGCCAAATTCATCCACTTCAGGCTTCTTACTGTCCTCCCTGCACGTGCACGGCTCACCTCTAACACAAACTGCAAGTTTTTAAAAAATGTACTATTCTAAAATATTTACATCTACCTACCAACACTACCGACCTCCTTCTACACAACATAGATGCTATACAACAGCTACAACTAAATATATCAAGTCTACATCGCCTGGTAAGGAATAAAAAGCATGCAAATACACGCACTAGTGTTAAAATAATTATATATGTACACACACCACCAAACACATACTATTAATACCCACATCAAGCACTACGAACAATTACTTCGTTCCTTTGCGGCTATGTCTTCACATTGCTACAACGATTACACATTCAACTATCATTTCCTTAATCTCTATATAGCATTCACTCACACACTCACTATTTACTCTTTTTCATGCTTATTAACTTTGACCTCCACCTACAATGTTCCTCGCGGAAAACGTGCGCTTCTCTTCACCAAAGCTGATTACAAGTTCTGCAATTGCTGCACCTAGAGCTAATGAAACTCCTTAACACAAAATTAGAAAGCATGCTGCCTGGGCTGCACCTGCAGATAATGAATATCCAGAACACTAAGAAGTAAGAGCATGTTATCAGGGCTGCGATGGCTGCACCTATTGATAATATAATGACACTCCTGAACACCAAGAAGCAAGACGGCCTGCTGCCAGTGCTGCGATGATCTACACAGAAAACCAACAAATCACAAACGGCTGCTGCCACAGCTAATCAAACTCCTGTCCACCTACAAGCAAGGCAGCTTGCAAACAGGTGCATACCCTGCAGCCAAAAGGAAAAGTCTTTCGTTTCGACATTCCTCACTTCATTTACACTTCTGATTCATTAGTTGCCATTGGTTCCATGTTTACTTCTTGCAGCTACTTCCATGCAATGACATGGAAAGGAGACCCTCCAGAGGGCTATGCTGCAACTGTACCATGGTTCAGCTATTCATGTATTGATACCTACCAACACTACCTATGCAAGCCAATTCCAAAACAACAATAGGAGATAGAACTCATGCTTCCAAATTATATGTACTGGCACCAACCAACTCATCCCGACATCTGGCTAAATGGCCACATTTAAAGTGCAGGGCTAGGTACATAATCGCATTGGCAGTCTGCTGCCACTACCCAATGGCCTACCTACATTACCACAGATCTACTTTCACATCAGACAATACTAGACAGGCTCACCAGCACTGTAAAAATGTCATCAACACCAAAATGCAAGTCCAATTGCTGTAGCAAGACATGCTCCATAAGGAAAACTCTCATGGTCAGTTTCAAGTGTGCTATGGAGATGACTTCAGCGTACAATGAGGGCTATGCTGCAACTGTACCATGGTTCAGCTGCCTACAATTAATGGCCATCCCGAGCATATTAATGTATTGATACCTGCCAACACTACCTATGCAAGCCAATTCCGAAGCATGAGTTCTATGTTTTGGCACCAACCAACTCATCACGACATCTGGCTACATGCCCACATGTAAAGTGCAGGGCCAGGTATATAATCGCAAGTCCTATT